CGTTCTGCACTACTTGGCAGACTCCTCATGAAATCCCCTGGTGCTCTGCATTTCTAAAATGATCAGTGTCAGTTGCTTGAGTATCTGTCTCTTTCCCTGGTTCCCTTCCTCAAACCTTCTCAGCTTAGCTAAAGGTGTGCAGACTGGCTCTGTTCCGCTCTACATTTCATCTATTTCCCTTCTATTCTGGCATGCTCCCTCCTCCTCCTGTTTGTTCTTGCTTTTGTTTGTTCTTCCAGTGCCAGCAATCGGCCTGAGCAGCTTGAGAGCATTTTTTAGTGCAGTCAGTTCAAGTATGGTCTCTGTTGGGTATAAACGGACTGCACTGGAGGGTTCTCACCTTCATCCCACAGGGGTTTCTCGTGGCCTTCTTGTGTTCTAAAATTTCCAGTTTTTTTCAGATGGTCACTGATTTCTGTTCTGATGCTACTGTCTAGAATGTAGCATGCCTGATTTGCCTGAGGCTTGTCTTAGTGTCAAGCATCTGTCTAGCATGGAGAAAGCGCCCTGTGCTCTGGGAATGAGCGCATGCCCTTTGTGCTGCTGGGTACAGTGACCAGCAGATGGCTGAGAAGTGGATGATTCTCAATGGTCCTCCATCTTCCAGACCCTCACTGGTCTTCTGCTGAGTCTTCCTACCCATTACTATAACCACTACATTACCAATTTTTAAACATTTCTTCTGAAATTAGATGGCTTTGTAAATACTTGAATAGTAAAGAGAAGACAATCCTGAAATATGCACATACAACATCATAGCCACCACGTACAACAGTGCACTGACAAGGCCTAAGAAAACTCCACACCTCCCATTGACATCTCCAGCCCATGTGGTGACACTGTGACCGAATCTATGTTCCAATCTGTCCACATATGTCCATTGTTCTAGCATTGTGTAAATGTTAGTAAATGTATAGGCACTGGGAATCTTCAAGATAGGAGACCTGTGTCAGTCACACTCCGGCCCACTCACACCCTGTCGCCACGTCCTCCTGGGTGACAGCTGCCACAGAAATCGCACTGTACACAGACACTCTGCATTTTACCTCCGCGGGCTTGGAAAGAGCCTGTGGATGGCAGCAGCTGCCCACTGAGGAGGAATCAGCACTTCATCATCTCACTGTCCCTCAAAGCCCCGACTTCAGTGGCAACACAAACTGGAGAGGACTCCGTGCTTGGAGCCCAGTTAGTGTCCTGTCCTGTGGTAGAGATGTGCTTCCTGTGCCAGCCACACTGGGTACAGCCCGGCAGCACCACCTACTTCAACCATGTTCAAAAACATCCTCTCCAGAAAGCAATGCTAAGGGCAAGTTGTACTTCTGAAGTTCTGACTTACATGGGAAACGCAGAAATAAATATTCTTAATGCTCAAGGGAAAATGCATTGTTTGTTCCAGTCCCCTGCCATGTTTGCTTTCAAGAGTAATTTATGAGAAGATGACATACAGAATCAAATCAACCTGAGATTAAACCTTCTGAGCAAGCATCCACTGTGAGATATTCTTCATCGTGCAGAACAGTCATCGTCATTCTTCCTGTGCAGCCAACGAACATTCAATTACCCTAAGGTATCAGCACAAAGTGCCTGGTCAAAATTGTTTCTAAATTGAAATAGCAGAGATGCGTGGGGGGAATGCATCTTTGTTGGGCTTTTTTTTCCTATGCTCAAAATATTTATTTAAACTAAAATACATACTCAGCTGAAAATGTGTGATCCAAGGTGATGGAATAATGCTTCTTAATTTTAAGCCAAATTTAGCATTCTTGGACAGAATATGATAGTGGTTGTTTTAAAGGTACAGGATTTACTTAAAAATTATATGGGGGGATTAAAAAATTCAATACCAGCAGAATGGGTTCATGAATTATATCACAATTATCTCACAGAATACCACAGACAGGAGGCAAGAATGTGCCTAAGGAAGATGTCTCAACACAATAGAGGAAACATATGCTACATTTGTGCAAGAAAAGCACTAAGAACACAGTGTGCAGACAACTGTACACATAAAGGTGTGCAGAAGAGGATTCAGAGAGAGCACCAAAATCACTGTCACCCACAAGTGACCACAGGCTCCCTGCACAACCGCTCTCTCTGATCTGCTAACCTTTACTGTGTCCCAGGAACCTGAGCAGCTCCTCGGCCAGCTAGAGTACAGAAGCCCAAAGAGTGGCCCTACAACAGAAAGATCAGGTGTTCCCACCTATCCTTTCCCCCTTACCTGTACTTCCCAAAGTAGCAAGACTCTCTTACATGGGTTTAAAAGCTCTGCCTCTTAATTGCACAGCAGAGAAACATCTTAGGGATGCAATCCAGATGGATTTGACAAACTCCTACTTTGCACAGCATGACACACAATGAGACAGTCCTGAGTTCAAGAAAAGGCCCACCTAGGAGGGTTCACATAAACTGATCCATAGCAGCCACAGTGTTCACCTGCTTTCTTGCCCCCCACTTGGGCCCATTCTCCATGACCGTGACCTCTTCCCTTGACTATAGTGATCTTGAAGGTGATGCAGAGCCTCTCCCATCCTTCCCTAAGACCTGTCTTCCTCAGGGTTGGTCCAGGGCAATGACTGCCTACTCCTCTCAAAACTTCTGATACACACAGCACATATGCATGCCTGTCCTCGGAACCTGAAGGAGTGTCAGCCTTACCCTCCCAAAAAAAAATAAAAAAATAAAAAAACAAAAAAAACAACTCAGGACATTCTGTGTGAAGACAGCCCGTCTCTCTAAAGCTCTTCAACACACTGCTAGTGTCACCAATTCATCTTTCATGGGGAGTTTCTTCTCCACACTGGACTATTTCTCTGCATCCTGTAACTTAAAAAAAAATTTTTTTCTCTGTATAGCCCTGGCTATCCTGAAACTTGCTCTGTAGACCAAGCTAGCCTTAAACTTAAGAGATCCACCTGCCCCTGTCTCCCAAATGTTGGGATTAAAGGCATGTACCACCTCTGCCTAGCTCTAAAAAATGTTTTTAACTTACTTATTTGGTATCTGTAAATTCATGCATCTGTATGTGAATCTGTATGCATGTATGTTTCCATTTGTAAGTGTGTATGCCTGTGGGGGGGAGGTGTTGCCTCACAAGAGTCTCTGTATCCAGTGCAGGACTGACTTACAGAGCACAGTCCCTACCTCCTCCAATCATTGTTTCTCCTGAACAATAAACACCATGGACTTGGCCATTCCCCCCATCTTCTAACAATCAGGAAATGCATTTAGAATTGCTTGGGTCTTACAACATAAGTCAGTGGTAAAGCAGTTAAAACAAACTTATTTACCACATTAATCAAATGGTCCCTTTAGCCTAGACCATCAATCCTCTAAGCATTATGATTGAACTTCTCCATTAACTGAGGGCCACAGAAAAAGGTCCTACCACTCCAGGACTATCAGGAGCACCCTTATTACCCCTGGGAGGGTGGGGTAGAGGATAGAGATGCTAGAGAGTGAGCAGTGGCTCTCCCTAGTTGCTTAGCAATGACCTATGATATAACCAGCTCACTGACTAGATGTATTCTCATCCTCAGGGTAACCTGTCCTTAAGTGATCCCATCTCTCCAGATGACCACAAAAGGAAGAATGTAAAGCTGACTGAGGATGAAATGCCCCAGTCTACAACAACATAAAAACAAGCCTGCACCTTTTAGGAGTGGTTTCATGAAAACAGTGTCAATTTTCAATGCAATGCTCAAACTGAAGAATGACCCTCCTATGTACTTAGTTTTCACAAATGAATCAGAAAGTGTACATATCACTAATCAGACTTTCTATAAACTTAGAACTGCTCAAAGCAGGTGATATCACTTAATAGTTTGCTACTCTAATGTAAATGAAAGAAAAGGATGCATGAGCAGGCAACAGCACTCAGTGGGCAAAGAGACTTGTTGCCAAGCTTGACAACATGAGTCCAACCCCCAAAAGCTACATGGGGGAAGGAGAGAAATTACTTCTACAAATTGCCCTCTGACCTCCACGGGCATGCTGGGGCATGTATCTACCTACCAACCAACACACACACATGCGTACACACAATAATCTTTAACTTTTTTTTTAACATATAGGACTCAGAGTAATGGTGCAGTCTACCCCTCACACAGCTAACCAATTTGCATGCACTTTGTCTTCTCATAAAGCCATGCTATGATGTCCGAATTTGAAAATGCTGAAAAGTCAACAGAAGCACTCCTGGTTCAAAACTTATACACAACACTCAATACTCTACCACATTACCCTTACCCACGAAAGCAAAGCCCTGAAAGCCAGTGAGCTGTGGGCCACTAGGAAAAATTGAACCCCTAAATAGATTCTCTTCTCCCCATATGCTATTTTAAAATGGGATATTGTCAGTTGTGAGCATATCTGCAGTGGTTAACTGTAGATTTCAAGGTGGTTTTTTACAGCTGGCCTCAAGGATAAGCCTGCCCCTCTAGATGATTGTGATGGCTATTCTTGGTTGTTAACTTCACTACATCTGGAATTAACTGAAACTCTCACGGGATGTCTAGACCACTCCTTCTGCTAGCAGCCTATATAAAGGACATGGAAGAAGGAAGCTTTTGCTTTTGCCTACTTGCCCTAATTCTTGCTACCAAGTATATTCCTTCACTTGTCTACTTCTTCAGGATTCTACCACATATTGAAGACCAGCTAAGATATCCAGCCTTGGGAACTTAACAACTACTGGATTCTTGTATTCTTGAACCTTTCATTGGAAGATAGGTAGGTATGGGGGGGGTGGATAGACAGACAGATAGATAGATAGGTAGATAGATAGATAGATAGATAGACAGATAGATATAGAGATATAGAGAGATTGATTCTATAATACCTGTCCCTTTAGAGAACCCTGACTAATACAACTGTCATTCATTAGTACTGTGATGCTGAGAGGCAATTTTCAGCAATGGTATAACTATGCAGTGAACACAACAGATCCACTGAAGTTGACACCGGGCATCCAGGAGCACAGTGTTGTAGTGTGCGCCTACCTATGTACTCGCAAATGAAGACCACGAAGAATGGAGTGACCAGGTCGTTTATCCCCTGAACGTATCCACTGGCAGGGTGTCGGATAGCCCATATAAACAAGATCCTTTCGAAAATCTGAAAGAAAATGGAATTGGCAGTAAAGCAAGAAATGAACATAGTAAAAATTTAAAATGTACCCATGTTTTTACTTAAAACATATGCCATCAATACCTCCAAACATAGACAGATATCAATCCCAGTTTCTTTGCCAAAGTCCAATGATCTTAGCTTTTTATTGGTTCGCAAGCACCACAACATCTCACCATACCCAGGACTTGGTTCTTCCCCATCACCAGCACTAGCTCCTAGGCTCCCTGGAGACCAGCAGGTCACAGGGATGCACAACAGACCAGGGCTTGGTAAGCAATGGCTCTTTCCTTAGAGACAGATGAGTAGACAGGGAAGTAGGAAGTGGGAAAAGGGGAAGGAAGAAGGGAGGGAAGGGGGGATTTAGCACATGTGGATCCATCCATTTTTCATGCACATAGACATGCATCCATGTCCCCATCAGATAAATAGATTTCCTAATTCTCTAGGAAGTTATCTCCATCCAAAAAGACACATTTAGGCACCCAGCTTCTTGAGCCACGAATGTAATAATTATCCTAGTTTCCTTCTTCCTCAGGCCACTCACCTCCAATTAACCCTTCCCCTTCACCATCTTTCATCCCACTTACTCTTATTCATCTCATCAAGTTACAATAGAACCACAGCACCCCAGGCCGCCCATACATATGTTTATACATCCACACCAATGGCTTAAAGACCTTCCTTTGATCCATAAGCACAGAGCCCAGGTCTCCCCAAACTCTGGCCCTTCCCTAATGGCCTCTTCTAACCAGCATCCACATTCTGTACCTCCTCAGAGCCCAGCAGGTTGCCATCTCAGTTCCCATAGTCCTAAAAGACTCTGCTTCTGGCTAAACTAATCGCTGGTATTTGAAACCAGTTCCAGCACTCCTTTCTGCGCTGTCTGATCCCTGCCCACCTTCTCTAGGGAAGAGCCAGCAACGTCCTACTTTGTGACTCTCTGGTCTCCCCTCCTTCCCACTGTCATTCACTGGTGGCTCCTCCTTAGTATTGGGATTCCAAGTCAGCCCAGGACAGGTCTTCCTACTCTGCCCAAATCTCACACAAGCAAGCAGGACAGTAAAGGCAGTGAAAGAACAGTCACATGAATAAAAAAGTGTCCCAGAACCTCTAAGCACACCAAAGCTTTAAGAACCAGATATATGCACACCCTGGGAAGTCAGGCCCTTCTACCTGCACCCTGATGGGGGAAGTCCTTCTATGATTATGTTGATAAATAAAGCACTGTTGGTCAATAGGGAAGCATGATAGGTGGGACTAGGAGTTAAGGAGGATTCTAGGAAATGTAGTCAACCATGTGATCTCCCGAGAGGAGAGGACGTGTCAGGAGGGCATCCTAGAAAAGATAAGTCCTTATAAAAATATATATTAGTAATTATGAGTTAATAATTAAGTCAGAGCTAGCCAATGAGAAACCATAGCAAACAGTCAACAGCTTCTTAATAAATATAGCATCCTGTGTGTTCATTTGGGACTGATGCGGCTCTAGAACCCAGTCGACTGGCACCAAGAATCACCTTACAGCACCCCATGTAAGTTTGGGCTTGGTAGTCTAGAGTCCCAAAGCACATCAACCCCAGGACTTACAGAGGAGAGGCCTAGAGCCCAGATTCCATGACAAAGAGCCTGCCAGTGGCAAAATCAGCCCTGAAATGCAGCCCCACTCCCACACCAGTACACCATCACCCCGCTGCTCAAGCGAATAACAGGCAAGCACCACCTGTAGGAGCCAGCTCAATATTTGCTGAATGAGTGACACACTCATGCATATAGATTCATATACATTTTCCATCAGTCAACAGTTTCCTACAGAGAAATGAATATTTAAACAAGTTCAGAGACTGGGGCACAGCTTGCTAACAGAGCACTTGCCTAGCATGGGTGAGGGCCCTGCATATAATCACTAGCACCACCAAACAATTAAAGTAAAAACAAGCTTAGAGGCTAGGTGCATAGCTCAGGCACAAAGTGCAGTGCAAGGACCTCAGGTAGGATCCCCAAAACACATGTGAAAGGTGAGGGGTGGCTGTAATCCAGATCTCAGGGGCAGGGACAGGTAAATCCTTGCAGCTCACTGTCCAGCCTGCCCAGCAGAATCTAAGACCTTCAAGGTTAGTGAGACATGCTGGATCAAAAATATAAAAGTAGAGGCAACCAAGGAAAGACAGTAAATGCTGACCTGGGACACATGCATGTACAAATCCACAGTACACACACACACACACACACACACACACACACACACACACACACACACACAAACACACACAGAGGGAGGAGGGATAGAAGGAGAGAGGGCGGAGAAGGGGGGGGGATCTGAACCTCATTGCAGGGGACTGTCGCAGCCACTCAGGAGGAGAGTACCACCTGCCCACACAGACAAACAGGACATAAGCCGTGCCCCAACCTCACACACACCATCAAAGTTCTGAGAAGGTTGAGGACAAAGACCTGGGCTGGCCTGGGCTCTAAGATTTAGGTCCCAAGCACCTGCCTCTATCTGTGGGACTCAAGGCAGACTCATGACCACCCAATAGTAAATACCAGCACCTTCCTAGGAGGAACACAAGGCACTAGAGCACAGAGTGTGTGTTAAGGATAGATGAGCCCAACTTGCAGTTAGGAGGCCAATGCCCTCCAGCTCCTCTACAGAGAAGCAACAATGATCCCAAGGGAGTCTCTAAGCACGCCTCTGTCAGCTACCGGTAACGCAGCACACCTTGCCATTACTGCACCTGAAAGAGCAGGCTGCACTCCTCAGAAAAATCCAGAAATATTCCAGTTTCTTATGATCAAAGGAAAGCTCTCAGTCAGATCAGATGTCTACATTTAATTCACCTGGACCTCTCTCGATGATCTCAAAGTCCTACCTCACTGCTTTGGTCTCAGAACCACATGGAACAGGTACAGGTACAAGCACAGGCAGTTGGAGAATAAGTAATCACAGCTGCTTAATATTTACTGAAACTCTTTTGTCATATCTGAAAGAATTCTGGGAATTGGGGGGTCATTCTTCATGGAGCCACAGCCTACAACTCAATGAAAAAAACATGGATTTTTTCAAGAAATTTTGAGCAGAAGAGTGGAAGCAATGTGATCACTTGAATAGGACTGTCGGTGGAGACAAGGTCAGCTCAGCAAAGAGCATATGCAAGAAGATCATATGGGGTGCAGGACATTAACTTGTGCAGAAATGCTGCAGAGAAGCACGCATGATCCAAAGGGCATAACACAGAGACCCTTGGTCCATAGATGTGCCTTCTGGAAGCATACTGGTATGAGAGGCCATGACCACAGACACTCACAGGCATTATTAGCTCTAAGGGTCTGTTCACCATTCTTGACATCAATGTCTGTTAGAGGGGGACTGCATTAAAAGCGGCATAAACTCTGAACTCTTCCTAAAGGCTCTTTTCTGAAACTCGGTAATGAAATGCTTGCTACCACATGTTACCTCAGGACTGAAGAAATTAATAGGCCAGGCTGGGGATGTGGCTCAGTGGGTTAAGTGCCTGCTATGCAGGCATGGAGCCCTGAGTTCAGAAACCCAGCACCCACCTAAAAGAAGTTGAGCTCTGAGGAGCATGACTAGAATTTCAGCACTGGGAGGGAAGACAGAAATGGGTGTACCCCTGGGGCTTGATCCCCAGTCAGTCTAGCAATCAACAAACTCTAGATTCAGTGAAGCCCTGTCTCAAAAAATACAGTGAAGAAGGAACAGAGAAAGATATACAAACAGCAACCTCTGGCCTCAATGCAAAACAACATGGGTGAGTATACACAAACACATGCACATACACAAGTACACATACAGACATACATACATACACACACACACACACACACACACACACGCGCGCGCGCGCGCGCGCACGCACTGTCTCAGCACACTTGTCCTTATTTGCTATGTCTTATCAGACATCCACCATATGCCTCCTCAGCAGAACCAAACACAGTCACTCGGCACACATGAGGGAGCCAAGATGTTCTGCACACTAAAAGGGAAATAGAGGGTCAGTGAAATGCCACTTGGCTCGGGATTCATACCAAACCTGATGTCAGAAAATGTAAAAAAGATGTTAATACTGCCATAACAGCACACAGCATCACCAAGGTCTCTATGAGAGGGGAATAGCATACGCTAGGAAGATCTGTGGGGTTTGCCGACTTCAACAGGAGGCTAAGGAGGGAAACCCGTCATAACACCTGATGAATGAAACAAAACAGAAGAGTACAACATGCTGAGGGACTGGAGAGCTGGCTCAGTGCTACAGGTATTATTACAGAGGACCCAAGTTCCGATTACAGCACCCGCATCAGCCATATTACAAATGCCACTAACTCCCTCTCCGGGGAGTCTGGTGTCCTCTTCTGGCCCCCATGGGCACCTGCACACACCTGGCATCAATTCACACAGGCACACACACAAATGAAAAAATATAAATAAATCTTTAAAGCACAAAAGTTTGTAGCAAGCCTAAAGTGTCTCAAAAGACAACCACATTATCACATGAGATACACACCATGAACCAAGTCTCTAATCACACTGTGTCTCTACCACCATTAGCACGCCAAGTCTCCAACTGCACTGTGTCCCTACCACCATCAGCACCCCATGTTTCCAAATGCACTGTGCCCCTACCACCATCAACACCCCAAGTTTCCAAATGCACTGTGTCCCTACCACTATCAGCACCCCAAGTCTCCAACTCCACTGTGTCCCTAACACCATCAGCACCCCAAGTCTCCAGCTGCACTGTGTCCCTAACACCATTACCACCCAAGTCTCCAACTACACTGCATCCCTAGCACTCTATAAATAGACAATGGCATTAACCCTAGTATTAACACTCTATATATTGACAATAAAATGTAAGACAATGAAATTGAAATTTTTAACAACACTATAAGACTGTGTCTGAGTAAATTTAACAAGTTGTCAAGGGAAAAAGTCTATTTAAAATTAAAGAGAAAGGGAGCTGATG